AAGCCTTTATTATCTGGCTGTTGTTATAGTTAGTTAAGTTCCAATGTTGGCTTTTGATTGAATTATGTGATGTTGAAAGGACATGTGATGAAAGACCAGCTCCACCTTCTATTTAATTTATTTTTTTCCAATTACAACAGCCACTTCGACTTTATGAATTGTTCTGTTATTTTATTTACTTCACCGAATATCGATAAACTTGTATGTGTCCAGGATGTGAGGTTTGATTGTGAATGAGTTTTTAAATGGAAGTGTGCTTTTAGTGGAGAGGAAGAGGAGCGACAATGTTTTAACTGAGCTGAGATACTGATGTCTATTGTTGGACCTCTGCTGGAAAAAGAAACAACATTTTTAGATGATTTAAATAGAAGCAGCTGGAACTTTTGGTGAGATTAGCTGTTGAGGCTCAGTAAAAACAAAATAACAAAAGTTCTTTCAGCTGCCATGTGTGTTCAGAGCCTTTCAGGGATCCTGTGTCTCTGAGCTGCAACCACAGCTTCTGCTCAAGCTCAGGGGCGTCAGCCGACCCACTACTATACAGGGGCACAATAGGGCACCAAAAGAAATGCAAGCGCGCAAAGTGTTTGACAAAATTTTTTGGGGACAATAGTTTATTATAAAAAAAATTGTGTGCATAGATAATTAAGGCAAGCACGCAAGCAAATATTTTATAGCATTTATTTATTATTATAAAGCATCATGAATAAATTGTTCATTCAGATTGTTATTTTCTGCATCATTAAATATCTACCTGAACCAAACTGAATCAAATTGGCCCACTTGTGATCTTAACTGAACATCTCTAATCCACTACTGATGAAGGCAAAATTTATCTTCATTAAATATCTGTCAGCAAACAGGAACTTGAAAACTTGAAATATGCAACTGTAAAAGGAAAAACTGGAGCGGACCTGGCGTTACATGGCATAGTTTCTGCATCCATCGCTCACTTCTAATCTCTCCTGAGGATTTTTCTCTTGCCTCATCTGGCATTTTTTCCCCCACCCAGTTATCATTTAGGTTGTGCAATCAAGGTTTAAATCTGTGTTTCTTTACTAGGACCACCGTGCTTCATAATAATAAGATATTAAAAAAATCCTGGCTCTGTGTTACAGGCAACTCTTGGGCTGCTAAATGCTCAGAGTGGCCGTTACTGGCAAGTGGATTCTGATTACTCTGTCCACATGTGTCAGACTTAAATTCTAACTAAAGTGGTAGTCTATAGGCCTATTTAAAGGAGAAAAAAAAATAAAACATGCATTCTGTAGATTTCCCCATATGCCCGAGAGTCAGACTGAAATTATTATTTTTTTAAAGGCATAAATTAATTAATTAATTAAAAAATCGTTGCCCCAGTTCCAGGCACCGCAGATCCACAACGGGGCACATGCCCCTGTGAAAAAGGTCTGCCGATGCTCAAGCTGCCTAAAGAAAAAAAAGAAAAGAAGCTCTTCTCTCTGTTAATAACAGCTGAGTTTCTTCCTAAATCTCCTTCTTCTGCTGCAGCCAGGAGCTTTCAGGTATATTTGGACCTCTGACACAGATGATGGATCCTGTGAAGGAATTTTAAGTTATTTTAAACCATAGTTTCTCACTAAATTATATTTTTTAAACCAACCAGCGTACCTGCTCATTTTCAACAACCCCCAGAAGTCTTAACATTAGAAAATCTTCACTTAAATAAATTCCTAGGAAAATAAGCCGAGAACAGAAAGAAGTACTTTAATTTTCTCTTGTTTCTCACAGTAAACTGAACGACTCGGTCCAATGACCTCATGTTCTGATCTCTGAATCATCAAACTCATCCTGCAGGAAGTTGTTCTATTCAATATGACAAAGTCCACAAACCAGCTATGGTTCTAAACTGCTTTTCCTCCTGGATCAACAGTAAATATGTGACACTGAGATCAGGATGGATTTACAGTTAAATGGACAGAAACTGATGCAAATGATTTGATTAAACTCTGAGAGATTATTTAAATAAAAGCAGTGAGAAAACAGTCAAGGTCATTTTATTTCATTTCTATTTTACTTTTTCTAAAATTTTAGAAACAAAACAATTCAAAGTGCTTTACATGAATAAACAATAAGAAATGGAAACACATGGAATTAAAAAACTAAAGGCAGGTAAAGAAGAGTTGGAAACATAACATAGAAACTAAAAGTGACAATATTTCAATTAACAATTTAAATCAAGTTAGAGACTCTAAATAAACAACTTTTTAACCTTGATTTAGAGGAACTAGTTGTTTTAGCAGTTTTGTAGTTTTCTGAAAATATTAAACACTTTTGTTTACTGTGTAAATTTAAAGATCTGATTGAAGAAATTATCACATTGACATTGTTCTCAGTTCTTTATTAACTTAAATTTCAATGATCAGGTTGATGCAAAAACAATAAAAATAACTTTAGTTTTCCATTAACGACTCAAATCCCAAACCAGACCATGGAAAAAGCAAACAGGCTTAAAGGAGGTAAGAACAAGGTAGAAATGTAGAAGAATGTGGAAGTTAAAAAAACAACAAACAAGAGTAATGTGGCTCAAAATGGAGCAAAGGTTCATGGATTTCCTAAAGATCTATGTCTTCATATATAACTGTACTTATTTTTCAATGTGAAAAAGGGATCAAAAGAAAAATAACATAAATAGATAATGCCTGAAATTGTTTATTAAACTACAGAGAACAAAATGGAGTAAAAAACAAAACAATTGTTTCCTCATTTAGACTTTTAAAGTGATTATTATACTTTTGATATAGTTGGAAATTGAAGAACGAACATTTTAAAATCTTAAGAGCAATGATTCTTTAACAGGTAATAACAAACAGGTAAAATCCTTCCTTCAAATTTATTTTTTATTTGTTTTAATATATTTGTTTACTGTAAGTTGAAATGTTAAAGGGTGGGTAAGAATAGTGAGAAATAAATTATTCAAGTTAGTCTTTAGCAATAGAAAGTTCGACATTTAGCTGTGAAAGATGATGCAACAGCACCACCTGCTGGAGGCAAACTGAAAAGACAGATTGTTTTATTTAAAACTTGAATAACAGGTTAAAGAAACTGAAAGTATTTTCAGACGTTATTGAACTGAGCTGAGACGCCATTACTGGGTGTTAGATCTCTGCTGGAAAAAGAAAGAAAAATTTGGAGGATTTTAAGAAGAAGCTGAAACTTTGGTGAGTCCTGCTGTTGAAATAATTCATTAGAAAATGGCAGAGAGAGTTTTTGAAAGTTTCCTGAGCTGCCATGTGTGTTCAGAGACTTTCAGAGATCCTGTGTCTCTGAGCTGCTACCACAGCTTCTGTTCAAGCTGCCTGAAGAAATTCTGGGAACAAACTGGAAACAAGAACTGTCCCATCTGCAAAAGAAAATCTTCTAAGGATCATCCATTAGTGAATTTTGGACTGAAGGAAGTCGCTGATACTTTTGCTGGAAGAAAGAAATTTGGATCATCGAAGACCGAAGGAGTAGAAAAGCAGCTGATGGTGGTCTGCAGTAAAGACCAAGAAGACCCTAAACTGTTCTGTAAAG